AGGCGGGAAGAATCCCTGCGTTTTATTTTGACGCCCATGGATCTCCCCCGCCGCCGCCGCTTAAATATCACCAAGCTCCAGAGGGAGAGGACGAAGGAAAGGGTTTTTTTTTGGGGGGGGGGGGATAAGAGCTATGGGAGAAATGGGCTTTCTTGTCAGTTATGGGGGGGGGGCAATCTGGTCTTGTTTCTCTTGAAAGCAGATTTTGCAAGCATGCGTGCAAAACCGGCCTGTGTGTGTGTGTGAAAAGCAGAAAGGATGGAGCAAGAGAGCGAGAGCCAGTGTGTGTTTAAAGGGCTGGTCTCCGGGAGCCGGAATGGCATCAGGAGGTGTGTGTGTGCGCGAGAGAACGAGCGAGCGCTGAACAGAATGGCGAATTAAGATGCAGGGTGCATTTTTGGGCAGGCAGAAACCCAGGCAGATCAGAGCCCTCCTTAATTTGCTTCTCTATGGTGCTTTGCCTTGCGTGCCTCTCCCCCCCCCCCCCTTCTCTTTTAATAGTCTCTTGTTTCTGCTCCTTTGCACACAGACACGTCGTGATAAAAGAGTAGCGTTTCAGCCTCTAGCAGGACCAGAGAGCCTTCTAGGGGTCGTCTTCCAACTCTTAACATTCCGGACAGTTTGGGAGAAGAATTATTGGGATGGAAAGGCGGCGGGAGGGGGGGTACTTGGAGGCTTAGTTCTATGCCACCCTTCTTTCCAAAACGTTTGATAGCCAAGGATGCCCTGAAAGGTCTGATTTTGGGGAGAGGAGGCTGGTTGCTGCATTTCTGCCTCCTGTTTCTGACTGAAAGGAGAGCAGCCCAGCACAGTGAGTCGTAAAGAGATGCAACATGGAGGTGCTTATCTCTGACTTGCCCCTTGCTGTATTTCTGACTACTGTTTCTAAGCATGATTTCTTACTGGAAGGAAGCACACCCAGAACAGTGACTCACGCAGAGATACAATAGGCATTCTATCTGGAGGGTGAGAAATTCTGCTGCATGAGGGATAAACTAATTTCACTTTATATAGAGAGAAGAATTACACATAACACAGCAGAGGTCAGGCCAAAGCAGTCAATCATGCAGAGCTTCGACAGACAGCCTCTATTACAGACAGGTGATTTGTGTTCAGAGGAACTTCTTATTAATTGATTGCTTAGTTTAACACAAAGAGTGGGCATTACCACTCTAGGGTCAGAGCTGCCAAGACTGAAGTTCTATGTGCTGTCAAAGTTTGACAACTGACTTACAGTGACCCAGCAAGGGACTTTTCAAGGCAAGTGAGATGCAGGGGTGGTTTACTATTGCCTGCCTCTGCAGAGTCTGCCCTGGTGGTCTCCCATCCAAGTACTGACCCTGCTTAGTCTGATTAGGTCAGGCTATACCATATACCAGGAGCTGCGGTGGCTCAAGTGGTTAAGACTCTGAACTGCAGGCTGTGGAAGGTCAGTAGTTCAGTAGTTCAAGACCCGGGTGCCGCAAGACAGGGTGAGCTCCCGTCTCTAGTTCCAGCTCCTGCCAACCTAGCAGTTCGAAAGCAAGAAATTGCAAGTAGATAAATAGGTACCACTTCGGTGGGAAGGTAACAGCGTTCCGTGCGCCTGGGTGTTTAGTCATGCTGGCCACATGACCATGGAAACGTCTTCGGACAGCGCTGGCTCTTCGGCTTTGAAACGGAGATGAGCACCGCAACCCTAGAGTCGGATTCGACTGGCTTTCGAGCAAGGGAACCTTTACCTATACCATATACCACTCCACATCCTGTAATCTGATGTACTTGAAAGTCAATCTGACTGGTTTCTGTAAATTTACTGCCCCAGTTATATGGAGGTTTTACAAAGCTGTTGTGGCTAATGGGAAACACAAAGACCTGTCCCCTTTGGCTTCTTTTTCAGATCCATCCATCTCATGGCCAACAATAACTCTTGTGGGGATGGTGGAATTTTCTCTAAATCATGTGAAGAGGCTTGCAGAATGATCATAGGCATTTTTAGCCTTTCTCCTTGGAAAGGCCAGAGGCAGGTTCCAGTGTTCTTTTAGAAAATATATCCAAGAATAAGAAGAGGAAACAAACTCTGCAAGTTCAACAATTAAACAGATCCTCACAGCCAGAGAACAATCAATCTACTATATGCAATGGTATTCACTAAATGGGGCATCCATGTTCAAAGGCAGCGTACCACCGGATATCAGGTGCTGGTAAGGTTGCCAGCAACTTGGAAGGGGAAAAGGCTTGTGCCTTCAAAAGAGGCTTAATGTGCAGCAGTGGGCAGTTGAAGCTTTTCATACCATGGAGGTAAATAACATCACCAGGTAAATGACATCCCATTAAACCCCTGTTGAAGGGGAAGGTTCTCCAGGTGACTGGCAACCAGTGTTCCCTCTAAGCTGAGTTAGTGTGAGCCAGCTCACAGTTCTTTAGCCTCCGGCTCACAGGTTTTTGCCTTCGCTCGGGAAGGAGGGCTCCAGAGCAAGCTAGTTGATGCAGTCGCCAAACTGCTCGCTCACAACTTTAATGCCAGGAGCTCACAAAGTGGAATTTTTGCTCACAAGGTTCCGCAGCTTAGAGGGAACATTGCAGTGGCAACCTCAGGTGCTAGGGATCAACAGGGGAGGACATTTTCCACTTGCCGATTTCCAGCAATCACCTGGAGATGCTTGCTAGGCTCCACTGGAGAGGACAAAGTGGAATAGACAACATCAGGGTTTTTTTCCTGATCAACTTATTTGAGAGATAGCCTTGTTAAGAGCCAGTTTGGTGTAGGGGTTAGTGTGTCAGACTAACATCTGGGAGATTCCAGGTTTGAATCCCACTTCTGCTACGTAAGCTTGCTGAGTGACCTTGGTCCAGCCACTCTTTTTGGCCTTTCCTCCCTCACAGGGTCAACTGCTTTGGGTTCCCATTGGGGAGAATGGTGGGATGTAAATGAAGTATATAAATAAAACACACTGGAACCTCCCCCTAAGCAAAAAATATCTATGATCGGGGTGCATGTGATTGTAGGTTTCAGAGTGCGGGCGAAAGGCAGCCAGATACCACTTCAACAGAGGAAAGGTGTTTTTTCTTCCCTTGCAGGGCTCCCACAGGCAGAAATCCATCAGATGTAGTTTTTCCTAGCAAAAAGGTGCAGTGAGGAGGAAGCTTCACCCATTCCATTTCTGCCCACGCAGCTGTTCAAGACCGAGCACAGGTGTCTGCTTGCATTCTTTACCCCAAGGTGCTTTGAAAGACACAAACCTACATTTCTCCCCAGTTCCGAAAGCACATTTTCACATTCCAAGGCTCCGCATTAGCACATGTTGTGTTGTCGCACAACATCTCACTGACAAAATATTAAAGTTTGGGAAGCTCAAGGTACAGCAGACACTCGGCAAAGCTGTCAGATTGAGTTCGCAAGCTGGGGAGGCGTTTCTGTGCCACCCAAAATAGACAGAAGAAAGAGAGCAGGAAGAGGGACTATTTCTTGCGTTTTGATTCAGAATGAACAAAGGGGCCCCTTCCATAGCTGCAGACAACTAACTTGGGGGGCTAGGGAGCGATGACCACTACAGCTGGGCTCTGCCTGCATGCTTCTGAGATGTGTGTCCAGGCGCAAGGCAAAGGGCTGCAAAATCCAAAAATGATGTACAACAGTCAAGGAGACTTTGGTAGGAAAAAGAGGTCCTCTCAGGGAGAGGTTAAGAACATGAGAGAGCACTGGTCGATCAGAACAAAGGCTTGTACAGTCTGACAGGCTCTTTTCAACAGCAAGTCAAGTCAAGTTTATTAGTACGGTCAAGCGACCAACCAATAGAATGTTTCCAAGAATAATAATAAAATACACAATAAATACATAAGTACCTAGTAAATACATACATCAAATATATATATATTTAAAAAAACCTTTAAACGAATACAGGAACAACACAATG